CCCTAAACCTGATCTAAACCCTAAACCCTAAAACCTAAACCTGATGTAAACCCTAAAACCTAAACCTGATCTAAACCCTAAACCCTAAACCCTAAACCCTAAACCCTAAACCCTAAACCCTAAGCCTGATCTAACGACTCCGACTCCCAGGCCCCTACGAACCGCGGCCTTCATGCGCGTGTTCTTCGTGATCTTCTTGACCAACTCCGGGGACTTGAGCATGCCTGATGAGGCGGTTGAAGGGTTTAGGGTTTAAGGTTTAGGATTTAGGGTTTAGGGTTTAGGGTTTAGGATTTTGCTGCTTGGGATTGAATGTTTGGGGCCTAAACCGTCAGGGAGAGATGCTGATGCCAATGCACCCGCACTTGGCACAACAGCTCCTACTTGGCCTTCCTAGTTAGTATAGCGGCCTCGATAGTTCGAAGAGGATTTGGGAGAACACGATGCAATAATTAGATGGGAAAGCGGCTCCTATGTGGCCTTCCTAGCTACATGCTCAGGACGCTCGAAGTAAACGTGCTCCGTCTGCTCCCATTTGTTTTCATACCGCGGAGTACACAAGCAACTCTAAGACTAAACTACCGTCCGCCTTCGAACTCTTGTCGTGAGACGATGCCGTTGTTGTCGACATCTGCCTGCAGACGCGGATGTCTTGAACAATGCAGTCTAGCTGGGGTCAGGGCGGGTTTGCACTAACGGCTCGTGCGATACATGGTATTCGTCTATAAGAGGCCTGAGCCTACAACCACTAAACCCGAAACCTTAAAGCAACTCTAACGGTGGATAACAGTGCAAAACAACTGAAACTTGAGTCCGCAAGCCAAGTACCTTAATTAAATTGGGGCTAGAAGCAATTCTAATCCTAGAAGCCTCCAAACTGATACCCCACATAGACATCTGGCCTGGAATAAATATTCGAGAATCGACTTTCACAGCGAAATCCTAAACCCTAAACCCTAATTGCAATCTGAAATCTACCACGGCGAGAACCAGTGCTTCGGGAGGCAATCCTCACTAGCTACCAAGTCTTTGGTCCAATGGACCAAGCAAGCGTAGTCTCTGCTGGTGGATCGCTGATATGTATGTATGTATGTATGTATGTATGTATGTATGTCTACCTATATATATATATATATGATAATTTATATTTCTGTTCTTTATCATTTGTAGATGTATGTAAGTTATATATATATATATATGCACACTTGTACGTGTGCATATACACACTTAAGTATGTGTGTGTGTGTATATATATATACATATGTTTATTTATTCATGGACTCAAAAAGGAAGACTAGCAAAGTTACTCAGAGCCCTGAGATATGGGCTCGTAATGTAAAGGCCTTTATAATTACAATAGGGTTTTGGGGGCTTTATACCAAAATTTTGATTAAGAACCCCGCAAAATAGTATAGGTAAAAATTAAGGCCCCGTATACTGCCCTTCCCTCCGTGTCTTCAGCCCTCAATGCTAGAGGCAAGGTTGAAAGAGTGTTAGGGTTTAGGGATTTGGGGTTTAGGGCTCTAGGGTGTAGAGTTTAGGCGAGCCCGAAAGCTAGGCCTTTTAAACACTAAGACCAAAGGCTACAACGCCCTATGCAGTGCGCAAGGGAGCCCCTTGGCCTCACGAAAGAGCTCCATCAAGACTTTCGTGATCATCGATTTCCTTTTCTCCTTTACACGAAAAGGGGGTTTTAGGGAACCCTAAACCCTTAACCCTGGGGGATAGGGCTACAATGGCTTAGGGTTTCCAGGGCAGATGAGGTTTCAGTGCTACTGTCCGCCCAGCGATTCAGTTCATAGCCAGCTGAAGCACCGAAGCTCTACCCGGCTTTGAGCGGGGGTTAGGGGTTTCGGGGTTTAGGGTTTAGGGGTTTAGGGGTTGGGGGTTTTAGGGTTTTAGGTTTAGGGTTTCGGGTTTGAGGTTTAGGCATCTGATGCGATCATCAGAAAAACTCGTGCAGGTCCGAAGGCTTTGCCCGAACAGAAATCAGCAGCCACCATAAAAACGGCTAAGAACAGTTCCCTAAGCCCGGCGACCCAAAACTCCCAAAACCTTCCCTCAGTGCTCCCAGCCAGCTAAATCCCTAAACCCCTAAACCCTAAACCCTCCATGCTATATGGGGCCCATAAGGCCCCGTCAGTCATGTAAGGCGTAGGGAGTTTAGGGTTCAGAAAGCCTTGGTATAACCACAGTGCAGGAAGTCAACGTATACATACATACACACAGACACACACACACACATACATATATATATATGTATATATATATATACACGCATACAACCACTGCTTTGTATATGTATACATTCGTACGTGCTTGTATGTGTGTGTATCATTATGGGTCAATCAACTTGGAATATGGGTTAAGGCAAGGATGACTCTTTCTGCATTTCCCCTTTTCTAAATATAAAAGGTATGAGAATAAACTGCAGGGTCATGTTGTTCCAACTTTCTGGCTTCTGGTTTTTAGGTGTACGATCGACGACGTATCAATGTATCTATCCATCTATCTATCTATCTACCTATCTATCTGTCTATATCCATGGCAAAATGTACGGAGATAGCCGGGCCTTTTGGATTCGTCAGGACTCGGAGAATGCGACTGATTTTAGTCAGCTCTTGGGCAATCCCACAACCCTACACCCTGAACCCCAAACCCTAAACCGTAAACCAATCCCACAACCCCACATCCTCACTGGAAACCACGCAAGCACACTTTCAACAGACTGGGGATTTCCGCTGTCGAAACACTTGATGTTCAATGCTTACTGGTCAAACTGTTGATGATATAAACCCTGCATTACTTTGAGGACCCTAAACCATGGGAATTCTGGTGTATGTTCCTTACTATGGGTACTGCAGGATTCATATCATCAGCCGTAGTCAAGTGAATCTGAACTTTAAGGTGCGGCTGAAAACTCTCGGGCATACGTAGGACTCAAAGTTGACAGTTTAAGGCATGGTTTATTAGGGTTTAGGGTTTAATTTAGGGTTAAGGTTTAGGGTTTAGGGTTTAGGGTTTAGGGTTTAGGGTTTAATTTAGGGTTGAGGTTTAAGGTCAGCCTGAACCTAAACCCACCAGCACCCCCAACTACCCCTGAGCAGAGCCTAAGCAAGAAGGGCTCTAAGAAAAGGGTACTTTTGGGGCTGCCGGTAAACCTCAAAAGTTTGAACTCGAGTCTTCTGTAGCATCTCGGGTCCTCCCTCTGTTCATCTTCCTTCTGCATCTGATCACGGATAGCGATCATGTTCTCACTGACCACACCTGCCCCCGGATTTAGGGTTTCTTTCAGGGTTTGGGGTTTAGGGTTTAGAGTTCAGGGTTTAGGCTTTCGGGGTTTAGGGTTTCGTTCTCACTGGCCGCACCTGTTCTTCACGGACTGAGGAATGGTTTCTGTCACTGTTCGCGGGTTACTTTAATGTAGGGGCCTTTATGCATAGAAAATGGTTTTGGGGCTCGTTATTCTAATTCTAGTATAAGAGACCCCAGCCCCCGTTCTAATTATTACGGCCCCTATGTTAGGTTGAGGGTCGCCGACTGAGTCTACTCTTCCAGTCTGCGTTTTGGAGCAAACAGCTCCACCCAAAACCCCAAAACCCAAAATACTAAACCCTGAACCGTTCCACCGTTCTGTCCAAGCCCCGACCGGCGACTCGACAAAAGCTCCGGAACTATTGGGCATGAAGGCCTAAGGAAGGCGGTACTGAATTACTGTATAGTAATTAGGGTTGAGGGTTTAGGGTTTAGCGTTTAGGGGGTTTTGGGCTTTAGGGTTTAGGGTTTAGGAAATGCAGCGTACTCTTTATAGTATCCTGTGGCCTATCGTAAGCCGTAGAAACCTGGATAGATTTGACCCTAAACCCGAAACCCTGAACTCTGAACCCTAAGCATCTGTGACATCCAACTGTGCTCTCAGCCCTGAGCCGCCCTACCTCCTCAAGGTATGGGTTGGGTACTGCCGTTTAGGGTTTATGGTCTCGGCCCCCACTCTGCAACAGCTGGGTCATATCTAGAATGTATATACAACTAATATATAGCCCTGCATATGACCCTTAATATGTACTGTTACGGAGTGGGGGCAGTACCCAAGGCAACGTAGGGGCCTTAATGATTAGAAGAGGGCTTTGGGGCCCATCATACTATACTAATAAGGAACCCTGAAATGGTATTGGTATTTTTTAAACTTCTAAATCTTATAGGATTCAACAGCTCCCTGAAACGTTCTTTCAAGACACCCTGAGTCAAAGACAGGAAAGCCAAACAACATACAGGTAGCTCTCTAAACTAAGGTCCCTTTTTAGGTCCCCAGTATAGTACGGCGCCCTTATAAAAAGGTACGCTAGAAGGGACCTCCATTTGGAGAACTACCCATATAGTAGAGACCATAAGGATTTGAATCGGGTTTGGAGTTTGGGGTATAATATCGTGTCCCTTAACTTTGGGAACTCCAGACATTACTAATCATTCACTATTGGTTACCAATTATTCAGGCTTCTACATTTTCTCAAAAGCCCAACACCTCACAGCCAAACCTGATGCCTCTAACTCGGAAATACCAAAACCCGAGCCTTTATCCCCCAGATCGACAGAAATGCAGGGCTTAGGGCTCAGGGCTAATGTAAGGGCCTAGATAAGTACCCATACTATTTTGGGGGCTCTCTCATATAAGTATAGCATACTGGGCCCCAAAACCCTATTCTACTTCTTCAGGCCCCTATATAACCACACGAAGCTGAACCCGAAAAACCCTACACTCTAAACCC